GTTGTCGGTTGCATCGAGTAAGGCCTGGAGCGCTGTTCGGTCATGGGCAATGTTGTCAATCTTGTTGATCCACCCTCTACGACGTTGGAGGTTGTTGACAATGTCTCCAAAGTAAGCGAGGTGCGTGGGAGAGTTGTTGAGGTCAAATTCATTGTCAAGGGTGTTGGTGTTTCGAGCGGTGATGCGGATGCGGGTTCCGAAGTGGAACCCCGGAGGAATTGGGATGGGTTTGGGGTTCTCTTCCTGGTGTCGCTGGAATTTGCCAGCAAGTTCTTTGAGAGCCGTGGCAATCCCTTGCTGGACGTCGTTGGTGGTGAATTTGGGTTCGGGGCTGTCGCGGTCAACCAAAGTTTCCTCTTGAACTGGAGAGGAGGAAGTCGAGGATGCGGAAGGTGTAGTCTCTCCGAGAGTGGCCTCGGGACTGCCGTTGCGGTAGTGGAATGAGTAAGGCGCCATGCTATAGTAGTCGACTTGGAAGTTGGCTGCTTAGTGGTTGGGGCAATTCTTTTGACCTCGTTATACTTTTTCGGGATTTCCACTGCATTCTTCAGGTTGCCCTCTGGTTTCCATGAATTCTCGGCCGTGGATTGATGTTTCCACTTGACTAAATACCGGCGATGTCTATACCAGGGTTGGTGTGCAAGAATTGCTTCCACCTCGTATTCATCGTGCCCGTCTATGATCTCCGGTGGTGGTTCTAGGAAGTTCTTCCCATGCTGTGGTGTCTCGTGGTATGGCGTGAGTAGGGAAGCATGTACCATGGGGTGGATCTTCATAGTGCTTGAAAGGGCTAGTTTGTATACTAGCTTCGAAAGGACCTTCTGCACTTTGAACGGTCCGTGTCTCTTGGGTGCCATCTTCTTGAAGGGGTAACCGTCTTCATAGTGAGTCATCTCCAGTCATACCTTCTGACCTTCAGTGAATGGGATGAATTTCCGGTGTAATCTTCCTGCCATTTGAGCTGTGGCGTAATCTAAAGCCGCTCCTGCTTCGTCATGGGCCTTCTGCCTTATCCAAAGCCATTCTTGAATTGACGGAACTTTTGATTGTGCGAAGTTCGTCGGGAGTGCCTTAGGATGTGAGCCAAACATGAGAAAGAACGGCGAATGTTTTGTCGCAGAATGTTCCCAATTATTGAATGCGAATTTGAGGTTGGGGATGTGGTTGGCCCAATTGTAGGGATGGGTAGAACAGAATATCCGGAAATATGCCTCAATTTCCCTATTCATGCGTTCAGTTTCTCCATCAGTCTGTGGGTGATACGCCGTGCTCATTCATCCTTCTACACCAGTTAGCTTCCATAGTTCTTTTAAGACGAGAGAGTCGAATTGAGGTCCTCGATCGGACAGGAACTTGTCCGGCATTCCAAATCTCTGGAAAACGTGATTGTGGTAGAACATTGCCATCATTGTTGCGTCTGTCCTTTCTGTGCAGGGGATTATAATTACCCCCTTCGTAGAGTCATGGTCGACTACGACCATTAAGGATGTAAAACCTTGTGAGAGAGGTAGTGCGGTGATGAAGTCGCATGTAACGAATGCGAAAGGCCTAGACCGGTGAGTTGCCCGTATCGGTTGCAGTGGTGGAGTGGTCGGGTGAGTATTGACTTTCATCTGTTGGCATGCCGCGCATCCTTGCACGTAACTGGACACAAATGATCGTATCCCTGGCCAGAAGAAGTTACGCGTCAGTAATTCCGCTGTTTTGAATCGTCCGGGGTGTCCGAACACTGGGGCGTCATGGTAGAGCTTTGTGATCTCTCGGCGAAGTGTGAGGTCAGATGGTACGTAGCATCGGGATTGGTAGTATAAGATGCCGTTGTTTTCCATTTAATCATCTATGGTCGTCTGTGCAGGAAATGTGATTATTCTGCATTGCTGTACGGACGGAGTTTGCGTAGTCATCTGTTCGTCCCGTCTTTTGAATGCGATCTAGTAACGCCTCATCAGTATTTGTCACAGTGAAGTGTTGTGGGCCATCCAATTGCATCAGCAGAGATTGAGCGATGTGTAGTGAGCGAATATTCGTTTCAGCAAAAAGCGTGTCTGGCAGGAGGATTTGATCAACATTGTCGTCCATGGAATGGAAGGGTCCAGAATTTCAGGTGAGAGCGTCCGACTGTACTAGTTGCGAACCTGGGCAATGATGGAGTGTGAAGTCAAACTGGGAGAGGAATAATTGCCATCTTACTTGTCTCCGGTTGAGCCGTCTAGCTGCGCAGAAGTACATCAGATTCTTATGGTCAGTCAATATCTGAAGTGGAAATCGCGTCCCGAGGAGGTAATGTCGCCATGCTTCCAACGCTCTAATGATGGCGAGAAGTTCACGATCGTAGATCTCGTAGTTTCGTTTGGCCGGTAGGAGAGATTGAGAAAGATAGACAATTGGATGCCAGTTGCCATTAATGTCCTGTTGACGGAGTACTGCAGCGGTTGCAACTAGTGATGCATCGCATTTTAGAACAAACGACTTGGTTTGATCTGGCATTAGTAGGACAGGGGCTGTGGTGAATTGCCGTTTGAGTTTGTCGAAAGCTCTCTGACATTCCAGGGTCCAAATAAATGGTGCATCCTTTTTTGTAAGATCCACCAGTGGTCGTACGATGTCGGAGTAGTGATCTATGAACCTTCTGTAGAAGTTTCCAAAGTCTAGGAATTCTCGTACTTGTTTGACCGTGGTGGAAGTCAGCTACTGCAGTACGCCATTGACTTTTACCAGATCCATCTTGATCTTGTTGTGCGAAACAATCATGCCCAGGAATTCTACCTTCTCAATGTTGAAAATGCACTTCTCCGGTTTAAGATACAAGTCGTTTTCTTGAAGTCGTTGGACGACTCGGATCATTTTGCGCTGGATATCCGCCGAGTCTGTTCCACCGATCAGAATGTCGTCCATGTAGATCTGGATCCAACCTTCGGTGATCATGTCTTGAAATATGTCATTCATCATGGCTTGGAAGGTTGCCGGAGAGTTGCACAGTCCAAAGAACATGACTGTGGGTTCGAAAAGTCCTCGACTCGTCTTGAACGCTGCTTTCCATTGGTCTCCTTCTTTGATTCTGACGTTATTATACCCTGACCGGAGATCCATTTTGGTGAATCATTTCCATCCCTTGATTCGATCGACAAGGTCAGATATCAGTGGTAGTGGGTAGGAGTTCTTGATCGTTCCTTTGTTGAGATAGCGGTAGTCTTGGCAAGGGCGTAGATCTCTGTTCTTTTTGCCGACAAAAAAGAAGGGGGAAGCCATGGGTGACTTAGATGGGCGAATGTATCCTTTCCGTAGATTCTCATCAATGAAGTCGTTCATCTTTGATTCTTCTAGCGGAGATAGGGGGTAGACCTTGCAATCTTTGGGAGCAAATTCCGGTTTAAGATCTATGGCATGGTTGTAAGATCTTTCTTCAGGAAACCTCTCTGCAGCTTTCTTCTCGAATACCACTGAATAGGGTTGGAGATAGTCGGGGAGCGTCGTCTCAGGTTTCCGCATTTCTGCCTCTTGTGCGAGAGTCATGGCCGGGTTGATCTTCATTCGAATGGAGAGCCCTAGTATTGCCTGTGCGACTGTGGTTGTGACCAGGATGGTATGGATTTCACCGGAATTCGGTATCCATGCGGCTACATAATCTCCAGTTATTTCATCACCTTGCTCAATGGTCGTTGATGAGATGCGAAAGAGGGGTGGTGCTTCTGGGTCATTCGCCATATGGAGGGCTCAGATGGTGGTGTCCAACATCGGCTGGAACCTGTCATCTATCCCTGTTGATCCAAAACCTTGGTTTCCTCAGTCTGTCGCGAGTAGTTCCTTCACTTCCTGGATTGGTGGTTGAGCAATTCTTTCTACAATCACCTGGGCGATGTGGTCACCTTTGGTGATTGTGAAAGGGGTATCCCCGTGATTGACCAAAATGACTTGTATTTCTCCCGTGTAGTCCCTGTTAACTACTCCTGCCACAACATCAATTTCTTTGAGTGCTAATCCACTTCGTGGGGCAATACGTAGGTAGGTACCAGGTGGAGGTGTCATTCGTAATCCAGTTGGTACCTTTGCTTGAGTGTGAGGGGAAATGACTGAGTCTTCTATTGCGGTAAGGTCGTATCCTGCTGTTTCGGGAGATCTTCTCGTTGGGACAGCTCTTCCATCACATTGGACTAGGAGATGTTTGGTGAGGAGTCTAGTGTCATCGGCAGAGGAGACTTGGATAATTCTGCCTTCCGAGTCCGGTTCTTCTTCTAGGACAACTTTTCGAGGAGTGAAGTTGAGTATCCCGTATTTCCAGTTAATTTGTGGGTTGTGGTGTTGCAGCCAATCAATTCCTAGAATAGCATCTTGCTTTCCTAGGTGAGTGACAAACATTCGTTCCTTGGTTTCTCTGCTGCCGATTTGTACCGTGGGTTCTACGTAATTCTGAATAAATCCAAATCGGTTGGGAGTTCCATCAACATTGAATACTGGTATTGGTTTTGCCAAAGGGTATTCACGGAGCTGTAGTCTCCGTACAACTTGTCGGTTGATGAACTTGCCCTGAGCTCCAGAGTCGATGAGCACATTGATTTTTGTTCCAGCATTTCCTTCCGATTTCATGATAACAGGTAATTTCATTGCCTGGGCCTTCATGTCTGCTACTAGTACAGATGAAATCGAAATTCGAAGAGGTTCAACAGCTGGCGTTGACCTCACTGGGTAAAATCCGGATTATCGTCTTTTCCAGTGCGATTGTAGTAGTGGTCGTAGATGATTCGATCGAGATTGGGGAGTGGGATGGAGCTCAGCATGGCGTCAACGTCGATGCGCGATGGGGTTGTGTGTGAGTCTACTGGAGTTGGATTGCTGACTGCTGGTGGGTGAGGAGAGCTTGGATTTCTGTCCCATTGAGTAACTTGGACGTAGGGACGATTTCTGGATGGGTCGCCTTGATAGCTTCTCCAGTTTCCTCTACCTCCTCGGCCTCTGCCTCTTTGGTTTCCTCCTCCTCGGTAGGCTCCTCTTTCTCCTGCTTGCCGAGGTTGTCTGCATTCTCTGGAGATATGCCCAAATTTTCCGCAATTGTAGCACTTAATTCCACTTTGTCCGGTATTAAGGGCATCTACATCCATGGCATTAGGATCACGGGTGGATGATGTCGAGGTGGTTGTCGCAGTTCCAGAATTGGTAGGAAGGTGCATCTGTCTGTTCTTGATACGCTTGAGAATTCCGAGCCTGTTGTCCAGCTCGAGGGCCTGTTGTTGCCACTGGGAAAGGGCGGCATTGATCAGCATGTGGGCGATCAGCTGGCGCGCAAGGGATTCCTTTAATCCGCGAAGGTATTGTTGGAGGAGGTTTCCGTCAGCGTCTGGGTTGACTATTTCTGCTTCTGCGATCAACGTGTTGAAGTGCACGTTGTATTCGTTGACCGTCTCATGGTCTTTTTGGACAATTTGGTGGAGTTCAACCATGGCTTTGGATTTTGGGTCGGTTGTTTTGTAGGCCTCCAAGAAGTCTTGACGATGTGTGGCCCAGGTGGGCCATCCTTGAAGGAGATACAACTTCTCCTTGACCGTTGCCCATTTCCGGGGTTGTTTCTTCCCTGAGTCTTTCATGAGCGAGTCTGCAAAGTGAATCTTTGCCTGATCATTTGGAAATTGCGAGGCCTTGGAGAGGAAATACATCTCGCATTGGTGGATGAAATCCCAGGCTTTCTCGATATCTCCGGAAAATTTGGCTGGCTTGCCTATCTCTTCCTGGGGGAGGGCGTTGCGTAAGGCAGCAGTAAATGCTGCTAGCAGCTAAGGGTCAATGGGGTTTGGTCCTAGAGCTGCTGGGATTGATCCTCCTCTGCCTCCAGGTGGTCCTCCTCCTGGTGGTCCACCTCTGCCTCCACCTCCTGGTTGTCCGGGAATTCCTCCTGGAGGTCCTTGGCCTCCGATGTGAGCAGCTGCAGCCCATATTGGTGCTGGCAGTGGTGGGTTATGGATATATTGCAATGCCTGATGTAGTTCAGCTATGGTGGCTTGTCCTTGGAAGTGTGTGCGCTGGAGGAGTTCTTCTAACAGCTCCTCATTAGTGAGGGTTGTTGTCTGTGTTGCCATGTTATCTTCTGGCACTTCCAGTTATTGATAAACATCTTCTGGTTCTTGGTCAGTGTCTGAGAGGGCTTCGAAAGTATCCGTGAAGTCGTCTCCTAGATCTCCCTCTTGTTGGGCTTCGATACGCTCTGCAGATTGGTCTCTGGTGACCTCGATAAGCCAATCAGAGATTTCCTCGATCGCTTCGGCATTTGATTCGTCGTCTCTGTGTATGCAGATGACTTCTCTGCACCTGTGCCACTTGTTGTCTCATGTCTGGAAATGATAGTCTCGTCATTGGCTAGTGTGGTGTCTGTGTGCTCGATTTCGGCACCTTTCCGGTGCAAGTTCAGCGCTTTGCTGACTTGTAGTTCTGGTAATGGGGGGTTTGGACCATGTACGTCTGGTCACCAGTGAAGGGAGCTTCGGCCTAATGTAAGAGTTGTAGTGTGCTGAACATGGACTTAGGCAAAGTCCGGGAAATGATATAGAAAGCGACTGATAATACAGGAGGCCGAAGCTAAAGTACACAACATTTCCGGCTGGTATTTATACTAACCTAGCTACTGCGGGATCAGCAGAGAAGGGACAACGTATATACGAGAATGTCCAGGAAATGGAAGTGGTTTGGAAATTACCCAGAAAGGAATAACTCGGAAAAGAGTAGAACGTCCGAGTAGCGCTATTTATCCGGAGAATAGAGAATAAAAGGAAAAACATATATCAGGATAATGGACCGATTGTAACAAGCACCCGGACGTCCTCCGGCCGTGCAAAACGCCAGGGTGCACACAGCTTTACTCACGCAGCACGCGCGAAGATGGCTCTGCGACCGTCAAGTGCCCAGCGTGCTTTGCGAGTGCGTGTGCTGCCTGCGGCAATAACACGCATCGTGGTCAGTCCTGCGCGGCTGCTACGAGCGAGGACGCGAGCGAGGACTACATCAATAGCCGCGCGTCGGGCATCCAGCGCTGCCCGCGGTGCCAGACGCCGATCTTCAAGGACGGCGGATGCCAGCACGTCTCGTGCCGCTGCGGCGCGCACATTTGCTGGTTCTGTCTCGCTGCGTTCAACATCGATAGAGAATGCTACACGCACATGCGTAGTGTGCACGGCCGCATCTTCGAGCAGCGTGGAGGGTGGTGTGTTGTGATGTAATCGAAGAACAAACAGTACTTGATCCCGCCTTGATCCCGCCTTGAGGCGACTGGGTTTTCACATAATCAATTGTTTCTAGAAGTATCCCTGACGAATAAAATGTGCAATATACACCAGAGTATCAACGTACGAGCTCCACTAGTAGGTTGAGCGTGGCGGTTGTGTGTGGGTATTCTTGTCGAGATTTAAGCTAACAACACCTACAACGGATACCACACCCGTGGTCTACTGTGTCCTTAGCTCCTCTTTGGCCACTCCCTCTGCCGGGACCACTCTACATGGCGCTAAATATCAACTGAACCCTAGCGAGTTTCTGCTCAAGCGTTTCCCGACTCAACCTGGACACGTCAGAACCAACCATAATGTTCTACTGCCGCCGCCACGCGCGCACGCGAGTATCGCCATGGGGCTTAATGCCCTCTGAATCGTGTTGCTTCGCTATTGTGGACAATAGACGTACAGCGAGCGATAGAAAGGATGGGACCTCTTGTTTTCCCCGTTCGTGTAATCCCGATTAGGTGAAATTCATAGCTAGACGTGTTGTGCGGCCACGATCAGGATAGACTCGGACACTTGCTCATACCAACCCCTGAGTGTATCTAGTTACCCTGGGCCATGTATGCTTGTAGGAGGCACTAGCCGATGACTTCCATCACCAAGGTGTATTGCCTGCAGAAGCAACCGAGTTATGTCATTCCTCCTCACCATTGTCAGTTCCAGCTTCTCCCGCCTCCATCCTCAAAAGCTCTTCCTCGCGTTCGAATATCCGAAGCCTGAGTACAACGTGTCAGCCACAAGATTGTACAGCCCTTCCAGATGATAACTTACCATACTCTGTCCTCCTCGGCTTCTATGAAGTTGATCATTTTTACAATACGTTCTGGGATCCTTGTCTCCCGCAGCCCCCCCTCGATAGTGTCCTTCGCACGACTTCCCATCGAACGAATATCTCTAAGATTCGCGTTTTCACCGATAATCCGCATATAGCCTCTTTCAATCCACCTTTCCATCTCAAAGCTGCTGTCAATATTCAGCTCTTCCAGCGCAGGCGCTTTTGACAAAGCCGCAGCTGTCTCCGGCGTCATGTCGAAGAAGTAGTCTAGGGCAACAGATTTCTGAGCAGGCATCAGGATTCGATATTCAGGGGTCGACGTGGAATGCAAGAGCAATCTGGTGCTTACCAACGATGTCCAAGAGTGTGATATGCAGGATTCGAGAAGAGCTTTGACCTCGATGACCGCCTTGTTGGTACGGCATCCTACGTCCTGTCAGTACAGCTTTTCCGGACGCATGACTGGAAGTGCTCTCCGCAGGCCCGCAATACCTTCCGACGCCTTGACATACGCCGAGATGTATAGTATCCGAATATTCGGCGCATGCTTCACAATCGTGTACAAATCCTTCCCGCAACCACCCTCCACCCGCAGCCGACGAATGGCCCCCGTCCGGTCTTCACACCGCTTTCCCTTCCCATCCCTCTTCAGGTATGGATAGAGTGAGGCCAAGGATGTCTCGGAGGATCTCCCCGGGAAGTTTTGCTTCGTTCATTGTCGGGGTAGTCGGGTCATAGTTCGTGAGAGCGGTCAATTTGAGTCACGATTCTCGCGAAATTTTGGTGGTCATCCAGCACGTGCTCTGTGACAGTCGTATCCAGGACCATCCCTCTCAGAAACTCCGCCTGCCAAGTCACATCCGTAGCACTCATCTAGGTATTACTTGGTGGTGGTGTTGCTAGGCTCCTCGTTGGCTGGGGTCGCATTCTGGCATCTACCTCCTTGAAAGAAGAACTTGAAACCACGTGGCAAGGACAGTCGTATCGCCGCGGACCAGTCGCGTCCATGGTCCATTGGAGTCAGCGCCCTCATCGTTCTCGCCATTCCTGTCACTGCTGCTGATCCAGTACTGCCAGTGCCATCACCGTTATTCTCACTCGGACGCGTACCGTTGGTTGTGCGCGCGACCGGCATCAAGCCCGCTTGCTTCACTCCGCTCGTCTCGCCGCCGCGCACACCCGTCCCGCCACCGTTGCCGCCGCCTGGCTTTGGATGCTTCAAATGAGTGCGTTCTCATTCTGCTAAAGTATTGCTGGTGGTACGACAGAGATCGGGCTGGTATGGTGGCAATGGCTCATTTTCGCCCTCCCAAGTCGGTTGCCTTTCAGAGGTCCATTGAACGCTACATCTAGGCCTGTATGAAGCTCACAGTGAAAAGGACATGTATTCACATGCACAAAGTGTGCACAGACAGCAGCGGCCTGTCAGTCTTGCCAAGATAGCCCAGTGACTCGAGATGCATGTCTCCATCATAGCCCGGAGCTCGACGACAGTTTGATTGTTGCGGCTCAGCCAGAACAGTGCGCGCAACCTGCCACCAGACACAGGCTCCGGGTCCAGATACAGGCGTTCGACACTCGGCGAAACCGTGACGTCGCGCAAGAGGTCCCGGCCATGCCTGCCCTCAAGCCCCAACGTGGGAATTTCTTCGTCGTTGGAGCAACCTGGAGGTTTACCGCGATGGTCGTCGTGTGCGTCTTCTTTCGAAGCGTGACAGAAGTGGAGAGTAGGGCCTCGTGTATGTCCGCGCTGATTGAGCGCCGGTGGGTGTACGCTATCCGCAGCGAGACCATCCTGGAGCTGTGCTTAAGCCCAAGATATGACTGGCCAATTTCTAGATAGAGTTAGCTGCGAGAGTGGAACTGCTGAAAATGCGCTGCTAAACTTCAGATGAAGACAGCCGGGGTTACACGCGACTTTCCCTTGATGTCTGGCTGCGGCAACTCCGGCCCACATATCATGCATTTCCTAAGGCAAGAAAGTTCCAGATACAGGCCAGAGATGCTGGGTAGATGCGGTCGTCCTCTCATTGGCGGGAGCGCGGGAACGGACGCGTCTTAGCGTCTACTACATCAGTCGCTTACGTCAGCCTACGTCAGCGGAGACTTTGTCTTGTTTCCAAATTCCAACCATCGCGTCGGTTAAGTCGAACACAGTATGGACAAGATGCAGCATCAGCGTCTCATTGCAGGCGGATGCCAGTGCGTTTCCGTGTCCGCCTGTGGACCGCACCTGTACAGTCATGACCAGGTGAGACGAGTTGTGCTCCCCGCTTCGACTCCAGGATGACGCTGAATAGTTTATACAAAATTGGTCATATAAGCCATAAGCTTTTGATGTTCTCGTCTAGATCTGAGCAGACTCGGCAGAGTAACGAGAACCGCCGCGCTCCTGTGATGGGGGGGCAAAACGAAGCGTTTGTGTTGTTTCGTCCGCTGATATTTCACATGCCAAGCAGTGGCATTTCACCCATTGGAGGTATATTTCTTGACCGTAACCATCATCTTCAGCTCGCAGTCCATGCCGTAGTCCATGCCGTAGCCCATGCCGTAGCCCCTGCGTCTGAGGCATGACTCTATGCGTATGTGTCATAACATAGAACCACCTGACGTCTGCAGGTCCAGCTCAAGTTGTAGCAGGTCACGGCATCATCTGTGGGACTTTCGAGGCCCGGACGACCTCCTGCGTTTGCATACTTGACATACAAATGAAGAAACTCTCCCAGACTTGAAGTGGGAACCTGGCGAGTTTATCATTGCATCATATCAAGTGCACGTCCAATTATCCGCTAAAGTCGGCAGATGACCCCTTAATCAATGGGGACCGTGATGCCCATCTTTCTGACCTCGTGGGACTCTGATACCTGTTCGTAAGGTTATGATTGCTAGCTCTTTTTCATACTGACAACCCCGGTGTTCGCAGTAGCAGGCTTTCCATGAGCTCCGGCCCCCAGCAACCAGAACTCCAGCTTGCAGTTGAATATTGAGCCTTCCAACTCCCGGAGGTCATGTCGTCCGGTGGCAGCGGCTCCCTGTCCACTTTGCGTGCAATGTATGGCGCGACACTGGTGGGGACTTTCGTAGGCGTCTTGTAGGTGGTCTCTTTTGTTCTCCGGGGGTCCACAGCTGACATTGCCTCAGTCTGTCGGGCATCGTCTCTATGCAGGTGTACATGTACAGTCGCGTGTACTCGAAGGACCACATCGGGATAAAATGCATGGTAAGTCCTTACTCACGCTCTTGTGCGTATCTCACCAGCTCCACGCTCAGGTTGTTCTGGTCTGGTGCGTTCAAATCTTCCGAGGCTTAATAATGTATATAACGGTTCCTATAGGGCTATGGACTTGCTACATACCTGCTTGATCTGCGTGGCAAGCTGGATGGACCTGGTCGAATACTTTGGGGAATGGGACCATCTGGATTGGATTACCTGGTGCGTTTGGCTTGCAGATTTGTTTATTCATTGTGCTCATTCCTCCGGACTGCTCATAGGAGTGTTGGAGCTTCAGTTGCGCTGACCGTGCGTTCCCCTGAGCCTCTGACTTCTCCGCGTCTCACGGACTGCATTAGGCCCTCGTTACCTTTCTTGTGCACTGGTAAGTTTCGCTTTTGCGCAGCGGAGGTGCGATGAGGGCTAACGTCACTACGCTAGTTTTTTTATTCATCGAATATATATAAGTGAGCGCCTTTCCGTGACCTTGATTTCTCGCCGCCTGACTCCACTTGCTCGCAGTAAGCAACAGGAACTTGTACTTGACTGTCCCACTCGTGCGTTTCTCGTCCTACTTAAACATCCCGACTGATTGTGTGTGACAGGCCGTATTAGCTCTATTCCGTTTGGGTCAGTTGTCACTCGTCTCTGGTGCTATCAATTCCCTGACTTTCTGCTTTCACAGCGGCAGCCACAGGTGAGAGACTACAGACATCGCCAAGTGATTACCACTCATCTACGGCCCTCAGCGTCGACGTCAGAGATGTAAGCGCGAAAGCGCAGCAAAGACGCTCTACTGACAGTTACGGTTGCTAAGGATAAGGCTGTCGAGCTATTCAGGATTTGTGAAGAGATACGGCGTAAGTGAGAGACTCCAAGTTGGTCCAGACTTCTGATAGGGCCTTAGTATATCTTTACCATGGGTCTTAGCTCTGCGGTTGCCCTGGATATCGCAATCACTGGGGCAATGTGCTTCTTCCTCCGGCGGGGCAAGTCTCAACTTTCAACGTACGTGATTTCTTCTGCGCCGTTGTCTCACGTTCATATGTCTATCAGGATGAACGACATCATCGATACACTGGTGCTATATACAGTGGAAACCGGGATGATCACCTGGTAGGATTTCGATGACGTGCCGAAGTATTTCGACTGATGTATGCGTCTATCAGCCTCACCACAATCGCTTCCTTGGCGTGTGTGAGTTGCCTTGCAGAGGTTACAAATACACTGAGGCTGATATGACGCTTGAAGTGGGTCTCTATGCACAATAATAACCTGATATTTCTCGGTCTGCACTTCACTATCAGCAAGTGTACGTGCCTGATGCGCTCCATGGGTCCCTGCGATACTGATTCTGGCATTTCCCTTCCAGTATATGCTAATTCGCTCCTTGCTATGTAAGCGCTATTTTCAATCACCACATAAACCATCGCTAAAATTTTTGTATAGCCTAAATTCCCGTGCCACACTCGGAGCTGCACATAACAACTCGTCGCTCGCCGCTAATAGACGTCTCCAAAGCTTGCTCAATAACCTCAACAAGG